AGGTTTCAAGATTGTGTGTGCGATTTTTAGCGAAAATTTTACACTGCTCACTTTGTTGTTGCACTGTAAAAAGTCTTCACTGAAAATCCAAATTACAGATTTGAAATCGCCAAATGCGTGAACATGTCCCGTTCAAGTGCTTATTCAATTGATTATCTATTCTTAAATTCCTCTCACAATATTGGGATATTGGAATCACTCATCTTCTGGCATGAAAAATCTGTTTGTTCCACGCAGAACAATGAATGTCGATGAAATACGGCGAATGAATTTGTGACAAGCTCCTGTGAAATGAACATCGTGAGGTGAAGTGAAGTGAAGTGAAGTGAAGTGAAGTGAAGTGAAGTGAAGGTGCGCTATATCGCTAATTCAGTAATTTTATTCATTTGGTCATCTGACATTGTGCAAACGCTATATCTAAGTTAATGAAACCGATTTTTAGGATTAACAGTTACAGTAGTGTCGAGTAGCACGTTTTAGAAGTATTTGTTGGTAGAGCTGCAAGTTTATTTATAATATTAGTATCGATGATATGATACCGTAAAGTTGGTATGGGGATATTTGAAACGCGGTCAGTGTAAAACAAGGACTACCGACTGTGGACTGTAGAATACGGACTACGGACTGGGTGTAAAACCCGCACTGTCAATTTCAAGGCATAACTAACACGGCGTTATCTTTTAGAATGYTCTAAGTTGTTCAAACTTGATGGTTTATATTAACGACCGAAGAAACGGTAAGATGATACTTTCCGTCTAGCTGTAAGTCTACATTTTTTGATGGCTTCGAGTGGGGTGTAGGGGAGGGCCGCGGATGTCCGTCTGCTGTACAGCAAAATGTAACTACAGCGAAAGACAACTCTAAATGAGGAAAAAAAATAAAGTTTTGCAAAACTCTCTGAGGCAAGTTTTTTTTGCAAGTTATCACAATGCAACTCTCATTTCATGGGCCCACAGAAGACGTGGTTGAGTGGTAGCGGAACACTCCGATACCATTGGGGTTAACGCACCAAGAAACGGAGCTTTTCGTTTTCCTTGTTGACCAGGCACTTCCAGTTTAAGTAAGCGACAAATTTCGCTTAGTTTACCGATTTTTAATATACTTAGCTTCTGTGAAGTGACGAGTTCGCAAAGATTGTGACCATCGCACATGACTGGGTGCTTGGGCTGTATGTGCTCCAATGCCTCATTTCGTAAGGTTGCCAGCGCTTCTTCATTTTCAGCTGCTTCATAGTCTTTGCCGGAAATTGACTGGGCTTCTGAGTTTTTGTATTTTGCCCGCCGTGAAAAGAAACTTTGGGGAAGACAAAATCTCCTC